CATTTCTATGCCGCTGATTTTAACGGCTTTACGGGTAGTAGGTACTCAATCATGAATCTAGCCCATGAGTAACTCTCCAGTAGAGGAAGAAGCGAAAAAAAAGTCCGAACACTCTGGACAGAGGTCCCCCTTAGCAATGGGCGCCTTGGACAGTTTGTCGGACGTCAGCAGGACCAGTCAGCAGGATTCGACTTTGCAACGATTCCGTAAGCAGGCACAAGGAATCGCCATACCGACGCTCCAGGCAACGCTATGTACAGACGCGATCCCGCTTGAAAGCAGTTGTCTCGCAAAGTGAACGTAAGCGTGGTTGCAATGGTTGCAATAATCACGCGTCTCTAGCTTTTCATCTCGAAGTTCCGAGTGACGAAAGGGGTATATTCTCTGCGAATGCGGTTAACGATGGCAAATGCACAAAGGCATTTCGTGGATCGCTTGATCGAGGGAACTGTCTTTGAATGATGATACCTATACACTTCCACGACAGTATGCGGCTACGCGATACAAGTATTACACAGCAAAAGACAGCCCAAATGAACTATAGCACGTCCTTTTCCACATTCCATATGACCCTAATATTACCCTGACTAATCGTTTGTAGCAGTCCGTGGTTCTTGACTACAGAAAAGTTAAAAATGAAAGAATCGATGAAGCCGGGATCTGGGTGTTCAAGTGCTTCGGCTGGCAATGGCATGTTCTTCAAGAGGGACATTCAACTATGATTGAGGGGGAATACGAATAGTATTTATATTTTCGCTCACCCTGATTATAAGACGGAAGAACGCTGGCTCTTATTAGAAGTTGTCACATTACATGGCTACAGTTCTGAGATTTTGCTCAATCAGAGAAGTTCGCATTCGGCAACCTCCCTTCCTCACTTTCGGGAACCTCCCTTTTTGGAAATGGTGAAATCCAAGGGTTTTAACTTAGTGTGCGACTCGTTGAATATACATCTTTTCAAACTTCAAATTCGGACACTTTCAAATCAAATCGGCAAACTTTTCAAACCAAAATGCGGACACTTTTCAAATCAAACCACTTCGGACAAACCAAATCGGACACTTTTCAAATCAAATCGGACACACCCCTTACAATTAGGTGGTTGATAACTAGACCACACTAGGTACTGTTGCAAGCCCCGCCCCATTATCCCCACTTCTCAGCGCGGACAGGGTTTTCCGAGATGCTTCATGAAATCTGCTCCTTCGACTTTTTTTCGTTTTTGCCCTTTGCACACACACTTCAACTGAAAAAGATTGATACCTATACAGATCTGACTCCGCCCACTCAACAATGAAGTTACGTAAGTGCTGAATTTTTATAACTTTTTTCGTCGTAGTTCTTTTCACATCCAATCTTCACAAAACGAATAACCATGCACAGCACACCAGGCCCCGCCCCTCTGACCCCGCCCACTTGTGTTTATCGCGGAATTTTGGTTTTTCTTCCGGATTTTCGCTTTTTTAGGCTTTAGCGTTTGGCTCCGCCCACCAATGGAAGCTCCGCCCACTTTGGGGAAGCCCGCCCACTTTTCAGAAATGATGCAATATGCAACTGAGAATCAGCAAGTCAGCGTGTGCTCCAGACTGGCGGATCTACGGCCTCCCCGTCGCTCAGAACAAAGTTTCCCTTTTTTCCGGTTTTTCCCTTTTTTTTAATTCTATGTGCCGGGAGAGCCGTAATCGGCCAGTACGGACACTAGCCCGCCGATTTGCATCATTTTCGAAAAGTGGGCGGGGCTTCCCCAAAGTGGGCGGAGCTTCCATTGGTGGGCGGAGCCAAACGCTAAAGCTTAAAAAGCAAAAATCCGGGAGAAAAAACCAAAATTCCGCGATAAACACAAGTGGGCGGGGTCAGAGGGGCGGGGCCTGGTGTGCTGTGCATGGTTATTCGTTTTGTGAAGATTGGATGTGAAAAGAACTACGTCGAAAAAAGTTATAAAAATTCAGACTTACGTAACTTCATTGTTAAGTGGGCGGAGTCAGATCTGTATAGGTATCAATCTTTTTCAGTTGAAGTGTGTGTGCAAAGGGCAAAAACGAAAAAAAGTCGAAGGAGCAGATTTCATGAAGCATCTCGGAAAACCCTGTCCGCGCTGAGAAGTGGGCGGGGATAATGGGGCGGGGCTTGCAACAGTACCTAGTGTGGTCTAGTTATCAACCACCTAATTGTAAGGGGTGTGTCCGATTTGATTTGAAAAGTGTCCGATTTGGTTTGAAAAGTGTCCGATTTGGTTTGAAAAGTGTCCGATTTGGTTTGAAAAGTGTCCGATTTGGTTTGAAAAGTGTCCGATTTAAGTGAAAATGGTATATGTCATTGAGGAAAGCTACTTCCAGAGAATTTTGTTCGAAAAAACCACCCAAACGATTCCCTCAGAGATTTCATATTGTAGTAGTCATAGTCATGTGCAACATCCAAGACTTTTTTTTACTAAGAAAAATATACCTATTCATGTTGCCGGGCGATGATGGAAAAAGATATGGTTCATACGATCCCCGCTCCCTGCGTAGACGTTCCTTGGGGTGCGTAGTCGTAATCATTGTCCACCAGCTGAGGAGGCACGGAGCGATCTCGTCGCGCGCTCGACGACGTGCCTGGAGGTCGCCGATGACCCGATGAGAGGAATGAGTCTTCCGAAGAATCCGGTGATGACGGCGACAGCATCACGACACCCTGACGGCGTGCACTTTTGCTACGAGCTTGTCTGTCAGCAGCAGCTGTAATGGCCGACACACCATTCGTTGTCCCAGCGTGAACGCGAGCTAAATGTGAATGCAGTGGTTAAGCACACTAGCCGAGTTAGATGGCTGCAAAAAGAGCAAATATGATTAACAAGTAGTCGAAGTGATAAAAGAGATTGTTAATAATCACACGGCATCAGTCAAGCCTTACGTTGAGTTTTGTAACCTAGTTCGTGCACGAGTTCAGCCTATATGGTTAATGAAAATATGCAACAGTGTACCATCTAGATGATTGGGCCGTGACAACATCCTCATCGATTCCGGACTTGCTGAATCATACGAGACTAACACAGGGTCGCCGATCACCATCGCCGCGGGCTCACGGTGACGTGAGTCCTTACGACGTCTGAAAGGCGTCTAAATCCGTTAAAACACTCTTGAAAATACTGCACAAAATACATTATGGTGAAGAACAAGATTGTTGAATTTTTCCTTGTTTCAAATAAATCTGCTGCAAGAAAACTGGAAACGAATTGCGCTTGGCCCCGACTTGCACGAGCTGCGCCTGGGCGTAATAGGAAAATCTGGCAGGTAAGGGGGCTGAAAAGCAGATATTAGGTGTTAACGTAGCACCGACTCGAACTGCCTGATACTCTTTGAGCCAGAGGAAGTTCTGCCCTCCCGAAACCTCCCGAAGCATTTTGATCCCGATAAATAATATAGAATGAGCGCTAAGTGTAAATAAGACCCTCCGCCAACCTCCAGCGGCGACCAAACAACGTCCTCCGCTGGGATTCCCTCGCACGGGTCTTTGTCGAATGTTTTGACCATGATGTCGCGCTCGTTCTCCAGGATCTATAGTACTTCAAGGTATCTCTAACTGCAACACCTTCAGCTCCAGATTTAGAACATCACAGTTCGATTTCAGTGAGTATTTTACTTCTCCTGACTCATTTCATTTCGGTACTACAAGGATCAAAACTCAAGAATTGTGCAGTACATACCGACTGCTGGAACGCAGGTCCATTTTCTTCATGATGGCTCGTGCTCGCTCTTTGATCCGTTCGCTATGTGAACGCTGCAGTTTGTTTTGAGCACTGGAACAGACATGACCATTATTCCAGGAATAAACTATGTTTCGATTAAATCGTTAAGAGATAGCAACATTAAATGTTTCGCAGTTTAAAATATAGCGCTAGAGCTTTTCGCAATTTTGCGGCTTTTTCCAACATCATGCTGTTTCGCTCTATTCCACCTCATCAACTGCAATATTTAACTGTTTGGTTGTCCCGAACCATCGGCAACTTGTTGCCAACCAGCAAGTGAAGAACGGTTGCCTTGCTTCCAGAATCGTTTTAGTTCCGTGCCGAGAACAGCAGCCACGTCATTTTTGAGGTGCTCTCGGATGTTATTACTCGCTCTTGGACTCTCGTATTTTTTTTTCAGAAAATGGCCGCTGAGGAATAATATTAAAGGGCAGCCGGAAAGAGCTAAGTCAGGGCTATGCGAATTCAGTGGTGAAGTTCCCCAACTAAGCTTCAGGATCTCGAGCAGCATCATTTTCGAAACGCGTGGATAGATAAATATTTCTAATTTGTAGGACCAAACAGCGTGCTTCTCACTCTCCCTTTGCCACTGATTGCAATAGGACTCGCATCAGCACTGAGAGGAAGAAATTCCGTGTAGTAAAGCCCACCACGTACAAAGTATCACCTTCTACTGGATTGATAGGATTATACAACAGGTTCCGCCCTTTATGGAGGGTCTAGCCCCTGGGCTGACGCTCCCGAGAGTGATTTACGTGGATACTAGATTTGAACATAGGACGAGGGTAATCGGATTTGGTATCGTCTGCCCACAGCACATATAGTTGATAACGACTCATCCAGTCGGGGCGGTGTCAGGAGAGGCAGATAGTGCCCGCCTTCAGCTGCCTTGCTCTACTAGTGGTAATTGATTAGTGGTGACTTTAGCA